CAAATTGTTTTCTCGGCGTTGGGTTCTGAAGAGGCCGTTTGCCACTTCTCATATTGGAGGAGGTCGGTGCGCTCGTGGAAAAGCACTCGGCTCAAAGTGCCTTGCTTGGAGACCATGGCTGGCGCACTGTCATCACCTCATCTAAACCCACAGGTCCTACGGTCCTACACATGATCAAGTGTCCAGTCACTAACAAGGGTTTTGCCGCGAAGCTTTTGTTGCCAACGTTCAAGCATTCTGAAGTAGCCAAAACCATTTGCGGAACAAGCTTTGCCAAGCATCCCACAGAACTCTGCAGCAAACTTGATCAAATTGGCCTGCAGGACCAAGCTGAATGTCGAGGCACCGAGGGAAAGTGTTCAATAACCTGTTGAAAGATCTGGCTTGCATCAGTGGCTCATGTTATGCCTTTCTTGAGAAGTGGTCATGTTTTGTAGCTGAATGGCACCACGTTTAAGCTCCACGGCTTCACATTTCCCCAAAAAGAGACCCCCAAAAAAACATCGATTTCTGCGGAATCGCGGAATTGCTTCAGCTTTTCAACTGCTACGGGGCGGTGTGCGAAAAAAAAATGGTGGGAACGCGTGTCCCATGCCCGATCAAAGGCCCGAGAGACGCGAGACTTGACTAGATACAAAAAGAAATGAAGCTGGTATGCATATGATCTACCGCACTCAGAAGCCCTCTGCCAGCTGGACTTTCTCGAATTGTTTCCTGGGCTTTGAATGAGGAGAGCGGATCCAAGCAAAAGAACTGCTCACACACGGTTCAGTTTGTATGTATATTGCCCTGGCTTCCTCGACTTCCGAAGTTGAAACCATCTTTAGAAAAACACATCCATTGTACAGCCTCTCACATCCTGCCTATCAAACGCACATTCAGTCGATGGCAACATAAGATTTTGCGCAAGCCAATCTTTGCAATCTCAGCGTCTTCTTCAGCACAAAGCTCAGCTGGGCAATGAAACAAGAGAAAGCGAATGCACAGTAGGCGTACACGCGGTTCATGTCCTGCAGGACGCACTCCTTCTCCTCCTCAAGGATGCAGGTGGCAACCGGTGGCTGTGAAGCCTGCGCACCTACCAAAACAGACTTGGACCTTCCCGTAATTGTGAATCATTGTCAGCAACATGCATTGAGGCCAAAAAAATCCCGATAATGCTGATGATGATGATGATGATGATGATGATGTGGTGAGGGAAACATGCCTGCAGTGATGTCCAAGCTTTAATGCCCAGCGTGTCGCAGGAAAATACAGCAAGAATGCACCTCTCATGTGGCATACAGGCGTTCATCCCGCAAAGAAAGTGCGTTCATCTGGGGTTAGGGACATCCACAGGGTCACCTCACACGATCACCTCATTTCAGCACCGTCATCATCGGGCATCAAGGGGCATCAAGGGGCATGCGCTGCGCATACCGCAGGGGTCTAGAAATGTCTTGAAGGTCTTGATCGTTGTGGCACGTCTCTTCGACCCCGGCTGAGGCCCTGCAGTCCTGGCCGAAACCTCCCACATTGGGGTTGGTGGTGAGGGGCTCATCCTTCGTGACCTCATCCCCCACCTGGCAAACATGGCAAGGATCAGTCAGAACCAAATCACAACTACAGTATATAGTACAGTAGTCTCAGGGCTTGGCCAAGCATCCTAAATGGCCACTGCTCATGCGAAGCGACGGGTCAGTGTCATGGGTCCAGGAAGGGGGCAGTGCATGGTGCCTTCGCACCTTGCCTTAGGGGCCTTGCTGGCCTTGCCTCCCCACACCACCAAGCCTGCACCACAATGTCAGCACCGACCAAACACTCCTGCGTCTTGACTTCGCCACTTGGAGTGGTGATGCTCACCTGCACGGCCGCGGCTGGTTGGCTGTTCACGTAGAATAAACTCGAACGATTGATGGAGAGCCTTGGGTCATCTTGGGTCTGTGTTAAATGTCCTGAGTATCTCTCTCGCATATATACACACCAACTTCGTTTCGAGAAGGTAGCCTGTGCCATTTCTACTTACAGTTTAGAAGCATCCAGCAGCAACTGCAAAAAGCCAACAAGCGCCGGACCAACAAGTCCGAGAGAGTATTAAGACTCTGGTTTCTCCCTTGTCTTTCTGGAATCTCCATACAGATCAACTCCTTCTCTCTCTTCAGTGATCACCTTTCAAGCACAGCAAAGGGTTTATATCCCCGCATGAGTGATGAACAAGACCTTTGGCCAAAGGAAGCTCTTGGGGTCAGGGGAGGGGGCTGACCCAAACCACAGATTCTCCTCATCACCTGGGGTTAGGAATGTTCTGACCAGTTGGTGTCTTTTAAATGTGGCCGCAGGGTTAAACAGTTTTGGAATGTTTTGGAGTAAGGCTAATGTTTTGAAAGCTATGTCGTTTCCCTGCTGTTTGCTTCCTACCAACCTACCCGTCCACGCGAGCCCTGATTTGGTTGCTTCTGGGAGAGTTGTAAAGCTTGCAAACTTCATGGCCCAGTGAGCCATGTGTGGCAGCAGGCTTCTTCAGCCTCGTCAACGGAACAAACGATGGTAAGACCGTCCCATTGTGAGCAAGAGTGTTGCAATCGGCGAGAAAACCACTCATTCTCCAAATTCTCCAATCCTCATATACAGCACCCGCTGTTGTCCAATCCGCATAAATCCACAATATATTTCTATGTAATTACATAGTTCGAATAGATATGCATGCAGTACATACATATACATCATATATACATATATTTATATTGTGATATCACCCACTCAAGAACCAACCTTCAGGCCGTCGATCGCGGAGATGGTGCCGGTGGCTGCCGCCATGAACTGATTGTTGTTGCTCTGATTGCCCTCCGGGTAGACCTGCACAAAACAAAGCACCAGAGTTTGAAGATGCGCCAGCAAATGGTCACAAACGATTTGAAGACGTCTCCTTTGAGATACGACATGGCAGTCTCCTGCAGCACCTTGACAAATGCATCTCACCACAAATCTTTCAGACTGGAGAATGCAATCTTCAAAGCCGTCCAACCTGGCCACGGCCGCGATTGCCACCGAAATAGAAAATGCCCTTGCCGAAGAGGATTTTGTCCTTGGCTGACACAATAGCTTCTCTGTGTTTCTTCGACTATTTCTTCATCCGATTCATGCGCCTCATTGGCAAACTTCCACCCTCAAGCCTCCAGCTACTTGCAATCTCTCCCTCATGCTCTGTGTCCACCATCACTGGAACAAGGAATAAGGAGCTTGGGGGGAAAGCAATTATAGGAGCTTGCTGAATGTCTTGGAATGCTGGTGGCACAAGTGACTCTGACAGTGAAGGAAAGCAGCTAGAAAACATGGACTTTCTATCAATTGCTGGCAGGACAAATCAATCAATCAGCCACAGCACATGACAGCTACAAAGCTCTTGCTTCATAGGCTCAGAAACCAGATGATGAAACACGTGTGCATCGTAATCTTTGTCTTTGATCTCCCCATCATCATGTCCCTGTCTACACCGGGATCTTAGAACATGGAAGTCCACTTGTTTTGGTCAACTCACCCGCTCCACCCGGTGAAGAAATTGGCCACCTGACACTATGTCTGAGACGAGTCTCATCAGTGTTGGGATCCGGGGACAGCACTGGGAGCACCATCTTCTCGTAGGTCTCACCTGCCGCATGAGTGTCTGGCTTGTACACGAACATTTGCTGTGCTTCCTCGCATTCCCTGAAACCAACGTCACTTGTGATTAGCACTGTGATGCACTGTGCATCGCTCACATCCGGCAGGTCGTTGAGGGGCGGTGCTTCACAAATCTTCATTTTCCATGCCCCAGAAACTCCAAGCTCCACGACAACCTACGAGCCTGGCACCGGACCGGCTACCACGATGTTGGGATACTCCTGGCGCTTTTGGGTTGGGACAAACCACATGTGTCAGCTGCATGGTGCTTTCGACCCACTGGAAAAGCAATCATTGCCTTGTGTCATTGGGATTAATCATACCGAATAAAGGTCGAACATGGTTTAGCACCTAAGTACCAAGCGAGTGACAGTCAGGTTACACTGAGGAAATGCAGCTCGAACGATGTTGGAATGATGCATCACAAGTTTGGTGGACAAATGATTAAGAATCCATTGGTTACGTCCATGGTCATATCAAACTTAGGTATGGCATGGTATGGCGATGTATGCGGGCTTTTGGTGCATACTTCGCCGCTGCTGGCTGGGCCACTTGAAAATGCTGAACTTGTGACACCTGCGTCCAGGTTGACATGCAAAGTACTTGTTGAGGGGGCTGTGCATGCAATGCCTTTGGTTCCTGGTTGAACTCTGCTTGTTTGGTACCTGGTGTGGTACTTTGTCTTCCGGCGTGTGTGTGATAGAGTTTGCCTTCGGTCGGTTACGATTTGTGATGGTTCGGCTTGTGACGCGCAAGCGCGCGCGCTCTCTCTCTCTCTCTCTCTCTGCCTGCCAACAGTTAATTCATACAATAAGCAACATACTTCAGTGAGATCAGTACACATATGACAACGAGTCAGCAGCTGGGTGGATGCTCCTTGCTGTAAGGTGCCCAGGCCAGGCCCTTCATCTCCTTCTTC